TAAAAACACCGTGAGGGACTATTTTTGTTAAATAGCAGCTAAATATGCCTTGGGCATGTTCTGCGAACGCACGTCGGTGGTCGGCATTTGTTTTTAGCCGTGACTTGCATTTTAAGATGCACGCATATTGGCTAAATATAGACCGTCACTGCCCCTTCTATGTGGAGGCACGGCTAATGTTTATTATTGAACTTTTTAACTCATTTTTATTTATATAGGCAGAAAATTAATGGTTTAATAGTAGTTCATTGCATTCTTGAATAATACTTATAATTTTTGGTGATAGCTTTGGTATTCTGTAAAAAATCTGCAATAAGCAACGCTGTCACAGCATGAGTTTCAGTCAAATAAAATCTACTTCAAAAGTAATAAAGTTTGTATTGACAATCTAAAATAGTACTGTATTCATCGGACAATAACAGAATAGCAAAACTATTTGCAATAATTACCTATACTATATTTTTTCTTAATACACGCAATGCTTGCTTTTTAACCGCTTTAGTCAAAGACAACAAAAATATGTCTTTTTATTACAGGATATTAATAACCGCTAATTACTTATTCTGTGACACAAGTGACACATTTTATTGTTAGTCACACAATGTTATGTTTGTGTACAACTGGGTTAATGTTCAACAGATGTATTTAATGGTATAAAACGTGTATATAAATAAGTAGGTTGATTTTATTCCTTGATATATATTAATTATTCTACAAACTATGCTCTAAACAAATGGTACTAGCCATTTAAATAAAAAAAAAATTATAACATTCTCGAAAATTTTATTTTGAAATTACTATTTTCCACACAGTTATATTATTTATAATGAAACAATTTTTAATTAGTTAATTTACCTGCATGTTTATATAAACTGGTAGTAGTTAATTCTAACCGTTAGTTAATTTTGACGGCACCCTTCCTCTTTAAATATAGCAAGAGGGGCGTGCGTAGCTAGATTGGCGCACCGCTAATAACCACGATGCGGGTACTTAATAACACACTCTAAGGTTGACGACAAAAAACTATCGATATCGATAAAAACATTACTGATTTTAATCGATACGAAAATAAATTTACTCCACATAATTGCTTTTTTATTATTGCTAATAAATGAGAGACATTTTCTACTTCCTTTTTTACTTAATGTATCTTTAATATCTATCCAATTACGTTACTGAATACTGATGCATTAATAACGACTTAATACTGTTTAAAGTATTTTTTAATATGTATATTATTAAATAAATGACAACATATGTGACCGTGCAAAAATTTCCTTTTGCATAACTGATTTATGGTTTCGGTTCTTGGTAATACGATTGCGTTTCAAACAATCGACTCTCTGTAACTATTCGTCAATTGACCTTCAGCGGCAGTGAAAGTGCCACGACAATAATTCAAGCTGTTTACGTAATGATTGATTTTCTGGTGGACTGGTTAAGAATTACCGAAAATTTATAGCTGATAATCGAGCATGAACGGCGGTTTTCTTTTCTTTGGGAAACACGAATAATTGTTTTTTTTTTAACGTTCGCCTGTTCGCTGTTATCATAAATAAAGAATACGCAATGAATTAACGATGACTTGTAGACCGACGCAATTATTGTTTTTAAGTACTCGTGATATAAAAGGATGTTGAATATTATTTATGAATTGCATTAAATTATTGTAGTGCCTACAAAACTTAGTTATATTATCCAATTTTAGGACTAATCTCAGTGGATATTTATTAAAATACTCATGATGAACAAACAAAAATAATTGCAACAGGCGTTCTATGATATTTTTAATAAAGATTACATAGTATACCTACGTATAATTAAAAAATGACTTATTTCGAATGGTATATGTAATAGTTATCGATATTTTCAAATAGGCTTCACTCATTTTACAAAGTGACCGTTTGGCGGCCGCTCGTTTACAATTACCATATTGATTTCCGAGATAAGAAGCCTGCGTAAAAAATATGAAATTACTTCTGATACGCCCCGAGCATTCTACTCAATTTTAGGGCTTCGAATCTCGTTTTTATTCGCACTAAAGTGTAAAGTTTACTGTTTTAAACTTATATCTATTCAACAAGTAGCACTATCGTGACCACTTTCAATTTAATAGTTGGCCAGTTTTACGCTTGTTTACATTCTTAGTAGGATTGTTTGAGCTAATTCGTTTGAACTTGAAAAGTGTCACCTTCTAACTTGTTATTTATAATTACAGCACTTTTAAAAGCAAAATTCAAAGGGCTTGATTTTAATATTTAATTCTCATAAATTTTACTATTGAACTAATATATATTAAATAAAAAATTAAGTGTATATTTGATGTAGTTCTCAAAAGTAGTATTGGCACTACAAGAACTGAGAACCATATCGAAATCTACACAACATTTTAATACTATAGATAGGCTTATCAAGGGTCGCTTGTGAGATTTTGTGTAGATTTGTATTTGCTTAGTCATATGCAAGATTAGAGTTGAGACGTCGTAATTTTGCATTTGTATATGATTACCTCAGTACTTATTCAATTTGGTCTATTGTTGGGTCAATCGAATGGTTTAAGATCCGACCATTAACAAACTTAATTTTCTATTAGAAAATAATTAACTGAATGTGAGAAAGCTCGCTTCAGGCTTAATAATAATTGAACTTTAAAAGCTTTCCTCATACTTTTGCTTTTGTTTACGTTCTAAATAGTAAAATTATATCGTTGCGTGCGTTACATGTGTTCGGCGTTGCTGTTGACACTGTATTTTTAAAAGAAAAGTTGCGTAGCAAATAGTTTAGGTTCCTTTTGTTGAAATGTAATGGGTTGGTTACGTGTTTCGTTGCGATTTTGATGCTTTTCCGATTGTTTGTCATTTTTCAACGTCTGGTGCTTTGTCTGTTACTTATTGTGACTATTCCTAACGAGAAGACGAAAACAATAACCATAAAAGTATAAAAATCATCTCTTTAAACAAGTATGCACGTTAGGCTATCACAATGTGTATTTCCATAATTCAATTTGAACTCATTAATATATGGCCGGAGAAAAAGTAGCCGATAGTGTTTAGTAGCCCGTTAAATACCTTAGATGCTTTCGCTAAACCACTTATAACTCAGCTTCCAGATGGTCTAAGCTCCCAATATTTCCATTAGGGATTGAGAACTTCGAATTTATCAATTCACACCATTTACATGTAAATACATTCAGGCCTGAGATTTTATGTAATCGTATCATTCTCCTTTACTAATTATTTTTTCTTCAGTGCCTCGTTACGTATAATCCAACGATTCCTTCGGTATTCCTACTGATGATATTTTTAATTATCGCTGCTACGTTTTGTTGTAATGCAATACATTTAGTTAATAAAACATTAGCATAAACTTTAACGTATGGCGTGTGTCCATATTTATAGTCTTGGATCTTTATTCAGTTTGTTCCTCATTTACAAAGGTGACTCGGTGTCTAAACAATGACGCTCTATGTGCTCGTTTTGTTTAATTTTAACACGGAAAAGCGAAGAAACTACTTTGAGACAGTGCAGGAACATTAAACATTGCAGTTGAATGAGCCGCCCAAGATTTCATTAGCTCTCAACGTCTTTTGAAAAGTTTTCTTTTGTTAAACGGTGACAATACTTATGCTATTTGGCAATGCAGGTTTTATTCTATTTACCCCTATTAGCTATTTTATGAATTTTTTATTTATATTGTGAGTAGCAATTTTTTTAATTAATATGTAGGTATAATATAATCTCGATGAAATGTACTTTGATTTCACGAACAGATAAATAGGGTCTGTATTATGCATTGAATAAACGACATGTTATAAATACAAAATGCACTTGGGTATTACGCCAAAGCTTATTAATTAATATTGCATCGTATTCTATATAAGTGACATCACATACAGTGACAATCTTTAATGTTACTTAAAGTTATTATTTGATTCCGATAGAACAAGAGTAGTAGGGCATTTCTGCTAATGTCATTGTGGTCGAATCCGCCATAAATTTATGTACATAAGAACTCTTTTGTAATATTTCTTTTTCTTTTGATATTATATTAACTGCCTGAAACGTCTTTTCTAGCGACAACCTATGGACAAACCTTAGTGGTTTTTATAGTGTCATTTCAACAATAATATTGTATGTAATTGTTTGGATTGCTAAATAAAAAATAAAAAATAAAAATGTTTTTGTTTTTGGGCTTGTCATCTTGGATATTTTGCTTGTAGATAATAAATTAACATATTAAATTAAAATAAACCATAAATTCATAACAACTTGACCTTTATTAATATAAGTCAATAGCGTTTCAACTACAACCTTTCATGACACAGTCCTTATACTTAGATAACAAAATAATAAATATGATTTATGAGGACGACATTGCACTGATAATATTGGACTTCAGGTAGATAATACAAGGGCAAAATGCAAGTAGTTGAGTCTCCATTAAATCGCAATTATAATGTAAACGTTAGTAGAATTGAGGCCCTGAACTGGTGGTACATAATAGTGATGGTCAACTCGAGTAACTAACTCGAGTTAACTCGAGTTCGGCGGAACTCGAACCCACTCGAGTTGAATTCTCTCTAACTCGAGTTCCTAAACCGAATGGAACTGACATGGAACGAAGTTTACCGATCATTTGAGTGAGACTATGATGTTCATTCATTCATTCATAACAATTATGTGTCACATTTATGTAGATTTGAGGTTAACTATAAACTGCCGGTTATTGTAGTAGATTTTCGTGTTTTATGTTCTGTTTTTTGAAAAATGCCGGGTCCTAAAAGGAAATCTTTAGTTTGGGATGTATTCCAATCGCCAGTGAGTGGACGTGTTGCGTGTAAACAGTGTTCTGATTCATTTAAATATAACGGAAATACAACAACATTATTAAACCACATTAAAAAAAAGCATCCTAATGTTGCCATCGAGGAAAGTCAGAGTTCATCATCAACAAATGAAAATAATACAAGTACTTCGACCGATTCATCGCAGTCACTGTCAATGGTATCGACAACGACATTGGACGTTGAGCCTCCTCAAAAAAGGTTAAGGCGCACTCAAACCCGTCTTACTGTGCCAAAAAAAATAACGCAAAATTCTGGTGATAACGCTTTAATTAATCTGATAGTAAAAGATTTGCAGCCATTTCAGATAGTGGAAAATTCAGGTTTCCAAGAATATTCGAAAGCATTGAATGCTGATTATCAATTACCGAATAGAAAACAATTAGCTCTGATGGTAGATGAAAAATACAAATTGGTGTCCGAATCTTTAAAAAAGGAGTTAGAAAATATATATCATTTAGCGTTAACATCTGATATTTGGACATCAGACAGTAATAAAAGTTTTATAAGTCTGACTGCACATTATATATATGAATATAAGTTGAAATCTGTAGTTATTTCGACTTCAGAAATACAAATACAGCACACGGCTGAGAATATTGCATTGGCTATCCAAGAGGTAATGGACCAGTGGCAAATAAGTTCAAAAGTAGTAACTATTGTCACAGATAATGCTGCAGCTATGAAAAAAGCAGTAAGTGAATGTTTGACTAAGCGAAATCATTTTTGTGTTGCTCATACACTTAACCTTGCGGTTAAAGACTGTATAGAGAAAGAAACTTTTAATTTAGCAGGAAACACTTCTAACTGCCAGCTACAAGAACTTTTAGCAAAATGTCGAGCAATTGTTTCGCATTTTAAACATAGCCCAAAAGCTTCTTATGCCTTACTCAAAGTGCAAGAGCAATTAAATGTAAATACATTGAAACTCAAGCAAGACGTTAGGACTCGTTGGAATAGTATTTTTTATATGCTCGAACGTCTATTAGAGGTTAAAATACCTCTTTTTGCTACTTTTCCACAGCTGGATTCATCTCCACCAAATCTGGATTCCAATGAATGGTTAATAATGGAAGACGTGGTGGCACTTTTACGCCCTTTCGAAAATGTTACTGTGATTTTATCAGGAGAAAAATATCCAAGTTTGTCTTCTGTAATTCCTCTAGTACTTGGACTACGAAATGCTATAGAAAACAAGGCGCCAGTAACGGAATTGGGTAAAAATTTAAAACGAAGTCTTTCTGCAGTAATAGAAAAACGACTTGCAGTATATAAGACTAATAGAACAGCATCAAAAGCCACCTTCCTCGACCCACGCTTCAAAAAAAAAGGTTTTACGTTAGAAAGTAATGCCAATAATGCGCAAATGTGGGTAATCAATGAATTATCAAACATGAGCACCGATCAAGTTCTACCTTCATCTAGCCCAAATAGCCCTAGTACTTCAATTGTTTCTGCTGTTACAACTTTGGGTAAGGACGACATTTGGGGAGTTGTAGATAAGAAAATCATGGAGAGTTGTGTTCCCCCAACTTCATACACTTCGGCAGCTATGATGGTTAAACAATATATTGAATTACCTTATCTAGACAGAAAATGCGATCCACTTCAGTTTTGGAATGACAAGAAATGTTTATTTCCGCGGTTATCCAAAATTGCCCAAAAATATCTTTGTATACCAGCATCATCAGTCCCTTCAGAACGTTTATTTTCAAAAGCTGGGATTTTGTGCAATGATAGAAGAAACCGCCTAGCACCAAAAAAGGTTGACCAAATCTTATTTCTCAATAGTATTCCATAAATTATATTATAAATTGTTTATTTTTGTTTTTTTAATAAGTACTTTAACAATATTTTGTTATTTTATGTTTTATTTAACTTTAATTTCAAAAAGAAAAGAATATTATTTTTGTTAAAACTTATAAGAAGTTTATTTTAGTTATTTAAGTACATAAGATTTTTATATTTTTTTATCAATAACTAATTGTTATTAATGGGAAAATATTTTTGTTTTTGTTTTTAGTATTATTTGACATTTTCCTGTATAGGAACAGTAAGTATATAATTTAACTAAGGAAAATATATTCTTTGTGATACTAATTATGTAATTTTCTTGAAAATATTGTGATTATAAAACAATTACGAGCCTGTAAATGTACTTATGCACATACCTGCATGATAATGTTAGTCTGATATTATTAAAAAAAAAATTTTTTTTATAAAAATTCAAGCATAAATCCATTAATAAATGATTCTATTTCAAACAATAATTTTCTTTCTTACTTTAGTTAGTATAACTCTCCCAATAGATTATAAATATATAAAAAAATGTAAGAATTGAATCAGATAAAAATGTAAGAATAGAATTGAATCTCTCCCAATTTATATAAAAATGTAAGAATTGAATCAGATAAAAATATAATTTGGCTGTTTCAATTTTTTTAACTATTAATGCGAAGCTGAAGGAATAAACTGGTAAAAAATCAAAACAAGCATTTACTCACTTGTCCATCCAGTTTACTCGAGTTACGTAACTCGAGTTCAACTCGAGTTATGTGGATTTTAACTCGGGTTAAATCGAGTTTTGTTTTTTCCGAGTTGGCACATCACTAGTACATAACCAATGTTCTTATTACTTATTGGTAACGAAATATTGTGCGTGTTTTGTTTATTTTTTTTAGGTTCACATATTATTTGAAGTGTTGTGTGTGTATACCAGCTTTACCATTCTGTAAAAGAAACAATGCCGAATACAAAGCCAATTTCATTACTTTTAGAAGTCGAAAATATTTAATTAAACCTCTAAGCTAGCAATATTTTTTTGCAGTTTATAGTAGCATGTAAGATTTATATTAAAACTCTATGTTTTAGTTGATATTATTTTAACTTTAATTTTTAGTAATCTAATTGACCAGGTGCTTACGGCATCCAATATTATCGTTAACAAAATTGTCATTTGCCAACAAGGGTACCAGAATATGCTCCTAGGGGTCGTTGAAGCCCAACCCTGTGAATTTAATCTGAACATGGACATGGGGTGAAACATGCGGGTATTCCCTGACAACTAAACTTTTTATCCTTAATGAGAACGATGAACCGTTAGCAATCTGCTATTAGGGCACAAATCAAAATAGGGAAGATTTGTAACGTGGGAGTTTAGCGTGGGATTCGGATGTTATTAGAAAATTATATTTAAACGATTGCAGTTTGTGCGTGATTAAAAAAATATTTTTATACCATACATAAAAGAGAAAGTAAAACATTTAGAAAAGTGGTTACTTACTTATCAAGAAAGACCTAGTATTACTTTAGGGTTTTGAAAGATAAATAAATCGCGCTACATAATAGTAATTTCTTAAATATGTAAACTGCTTGTAGGTATTTGTATTTCATTGATTTTGAATGAAAATATGTATTATCTATACTAATATTATAAAGCTGAAGAGTTTGTTTGTTTGTTTGAACACGCTAATCTCAGGAACTACTGGTTCGAATTGAAAAATTATTTTTGTGATGAATAGACCATTTATCGAGGAAGGCTTCAGGTTATATAACATCACGCTGCAACTATAAGAAGCGAAGAAATAATGGAAAACGCGGACGAAGTCGCTGGCGGCTACTAGTTATCGATAAAAAAATGTCTAAGTATTTTTTTTGATAGCCACTCGCTTACATACAAAGCGGTAAATACTTATTTTTTTTATTTTTTACGAAATAATAAGGCAAGCAGTTGACACCAAGTTGATACATTCTGTATTTTTTTTCATATCGTAAAAATCAAAACAAATGAATAATAGGGTCCAGTGTAAGTGAGATTAATTTTATCTAACTATATCGACAAATTAAATTTCCCCATAGTGAGACAGAGTTTATTCAGATGCCTTAATGACTGCCGATGTAGCCGGGAAACTTATACATGGAAAGATCATAGGATGGGTGACCAAAAATTGACTATCTCGACTTCCTCTGTGCTTTGAAAGGCTCGTTAAACCGTTGGTCTCGGCTGCATCTGAAGTCGTTAATATCCATTAAACCACACTGGGCCAGTATGATTGGTGATTACCATCCTCCCTATTCGATTCCATCCATAGGGAAGGTCTGAGTCCCAGCTGTGGGGTCATTATTTAGTATTGTAGATATTAATAGGCTTGTGATATAACGATAAGGAAGATTATCAACTATTTTACCAAAATGCATAGCTTTGACTAAGTTTCGATAGGAGGCCATCATTTTAAATAATATAAAATAGATGAAATTATTTGAATTATTATTTATTATAATTCCTTCCTTCGTAAACATAACTTAACTATCTTAATGCTTGCCCTAGAAATTATCTCTCAGAAGACAATGACATTATACTTTTATTATGCACTGAACATTAATTTTGTCCTTTGAGGCGTGGAACTATAAAAAAGTATGAATAAATTAATATGGCCGTTTAATACTTTTATAGGAAACAATCGTAATTCATCAAGGCGTGATTACGTCGGAATGCTGGCCCGACGATTAAAAACTTACTCCCATGATCAGTTCAGAATGCTGATTCCATTTTATTTTTTACTGGGACGTGTTATGGAGTAGGGGTGGCAATAACTTAGGGAATGGAAGGGAATGACAGTTACGTGTATCTACATATTATTGTAATATATTTTTTTTAAAGGTTGATAACGGGACCCTATTACTAAGCTTTCGCTTTCCATCTATTCGCGTCTTTCTGACTGTGTACAAACACACAACAGATGTCATCAGATATAAATTTTCACATATGATATATTTCTAATGCCACTACAGAAATAAATCCTAAAAAACAAAATAAAATAACTATATAAGACGGCTCCCATATAGAAAACGTGATTTTTTACTTAATTTCTATACGGAACCCATAGTGCGCGATTTCAAGTCGCAGTTGGCCAGTGTTTTATTATTACATACCTGTTAATACTTTCAGTAAAAGCAACTGCTATTTCTCTAATCAAGATATTCTAAAAAGTTCAAAAAAAGAAATTAAATTCAGGAGACTTCTATTGAAGTCGGACAGGGATTTTGTGTAGGTTGTTAATTTTGAGCGTCTGACTTAAATAGAAGTTGCCTGAATATTTTTTTAAAAATTTTGTAAGCTGTTTTAATGTATTTTTTTTTTCTAATATAAGTGTGCAAGTCGACAGCCCTACCGACAATGTTGAGGTACAAAACCAATTACGTATTACGGAAGCAATCTACAACGAAACGAAACTTATCACGTAGATGCACGTAAGTTTCCCAGTTATCTCATACGTACGCGATTATTTATTTGCGTCATTAATTACGTATCTACTTTATTGTGTTAAGAAACCTGTTTCTACATATTAAAGTCTCTAGCGAAGTGTCCAGACGTTCTTTAACATGACACATTTTATTATTCGGCATTAATTGATATTTGTCTTGTCAATTGATTGAAGTATCCTTTTCTGCATAATCTTATTCCTAACATACTTAGCTATAGTAATTAGCTTTCCGCCTGTGGCTTTGCTCGCGTGAAATTTTGTTATTATCGCCCTTAGTTAAACCATCTAAGCCAATTTCTTGCAATAAAACTAAGTTTCTTATGTTCTTTCTCAAGGTACATTGTATATGTGTACCAAATATAATTAAAATTTGTTTAGTAGTTTTGGCGTGAAAACATAACAGGTACACAGTCAGTGTTACTTTCGTATTTATAAATTTAGTATGGATAATATAGTTAGTAAACTAAAGGAATAATAACAACATTAATATTTATTTCTCTCCATTAACTTTTTACATCTTATAAAGTGCAATAATTCTTAAACCTAATTTTGGTTGTGGATCGCTGTTGCCTGTTTTAGGTAATTAAAACCTGTTTGCACAGGACACCAGGTCCCCACCTCTCAGCGGTAATTACAATTTAAAACGTAGAAGTTCAAAAAATTATACATAAATAAAGGACCCCGCCCTTGCCTTATGGAAATTGGCTTTCTGTCAAATCGGATGAAACTATGATGAATGGATAGAGGAAGTCTTCCTGAGTAAAAGTCCTCATGGGCACTAAGCCCGAAAATCGAAACTTTTAGTACTTTTGGGCATTCGAAGTTTTTGATTTTGGATTCTAGCAAAATCAATAAATCCTTGTAGAATCGGCCCAAAGTTCAATTAGACATAAAAGAAAAAATACGTATCGAATATTTTTTCAAGACCTTTCGAACGACACCCTATTTGACCCCCCCCCCACTCCCCCACCTACGGGGGTGGAAGGGGAGCGGTTTTTTGCGAAAAAGTTCTTTTATAATGTTATAATGGCCTCATGATTGACGGAGCACTTGAGCCGTGCCCGATTGACCCCCCACCTACTCATCCACCCACCACACGCGGGGGCGGAGGAAAGAGCTGTTTTTCGCGAAAAAGTTCTTTAAAAGCGTGTTCATGGCCTTTTGAATGACAAACACTCGAGCCATGCTTATTTGTTGGCCCTACAAGGATTTATTGATTTTGCTAGAATCCAAAATCAAAAACTTCGAATGCCCAAAAGTACTAAAAGTTTCGATTTTCGGGCTTAGTGCCCATGAGGACTTTTACTCAGGAAGACTTCCTCTATCCATTCATCATAGTTTCATCCGATTTGACAGAAAGCCAATTTCCATAAGGCAAGGGCGGGGTCCTTTATAGACTAATAATGGAATGCAGTTAAGAGGGCGCGTAAAACTACATTTGAATTACTGTAATTGCTATATTTGATAAACTATAACTGAATATCTCTACAGGTTGCACACACTGCGATAGAATTGTTTTATTGTGGCACGCATAACC